GAAATCCTGATCTGTTGATCCAGTCTTTAAGAACTCAAGTGAAATGTCTGATCCTTCCAACTACCGGCCTATCTAATCTATTTGGTAAACTACTAGAGAATTGCAGAAGCATATCACACTACAAGAACTTTTTTCAATCAAGCAATATGGCTTTTGTTTTTCTAGGTCAACTACCGATCAATTAACGATTATCGCGAAAAAATTTTACCAAGCTTAGGATATGAATGGTGAAGATCCGGTTGTTCATTTGGATTATCTCGAAAGCCTTCGATAAGGTTTAGCATACAGGTCTTTTTCACAAATTGAAATTAATTCGGTCTTTCTTATTTAATCGTGAAATGAAGGTTGTCGTGAACGGCCACTCGTCTGTGACAGAGAGAGTTTGGGAAACACATACGTATATTTTTTAGTCAAATTGGAGTAGATTTGGAATAGCGAAATTAAATCAGAGCCTTTTGTTTACTGATGGGGAAATTTGATCTAGGACTGAAGTTGTACCCATTGAATCTGTGTCATCAGAAGACAATGGAAATGGTCGGAATAATTTTTATTGATTAAAACTTGGAATAGAGCTAAGTAAGCAAGGAGGACCTTTAGAATTCACATGATCTTGGTTGAAACAGCCATAGCCCCGTGATAATCACGTGCAAACCAGTAGGGCCAAGGTTCAGTTGTAACCAGACATATTTTTCTATATAAACGCAGAAGGAGAGAAAATGACGTCAGAGATTGTTCTGTTGATATAAGTACCGCTGCTTCTGCTACCGCGAATATTACTACTACTGTTACTACTGCTAAGTAGGAACGCCACTATAAACTTTAAGCCGCACACAGAAATCTTATTCCCCCATCGCAAGAGTCCTATATTGTTCTGAGATGATTTAACAACAAGTTAATCATAACACTCTCTCTGTGTCCAGTATCCAGTGTATGCATTTTTACGTCAATTACTTTTCTTTTCTGTAACCCGTTTCTTTTCTATACTATTCTTTTCTGCTATATAAAAGACATTAACAATTCAATCATTGAATAGTTGGTTGTCCGGCTGTCTGCAGACATTATTTTTTTGATGCATTCTAAATTTCTTAGCGCAGACTCTCCAGCCGTGTCTATATCTTCAGTCGACCGTGAATGGATGAACATCACTTCTGCTTTCTGGATCAAACCAAACACAACGTGGGCAGGAAGCAGGATTAAATCAGATGACCGGTCGAATAATCTATGGATGCTCAGGGGACCTACGGCCACTCCCTTAAGTTCGGTTAGGACAGGGTATACACCTGGGGCGAAAGTGTTAGACGTCTAGATCCTTTCGTACTAATGTAGGTGTCCACCAGGGCCCTATCTTTACTCCTATTTTGTTTTTAATTTTCATCAATGACCATCCTGATGGTATCAGCTCGCAACTTGGCATCTATGCTAATGACGCAATGTCTCGATAGTATGTCTGATAAGGTCAAATTGGCAGCTGAGCTCAAAAATAACCTAGTCTGTTGTTAACTGGGGTAAAGAAAGGCTTGTTAATATTAACGCCTACAAAATAAAACTGCTGTCTATTAATAATTTGAGAGACACCTTTCTGCCTTCCATCGTCAAGAGAGTGATTCGTTTCACCTTCTCGGGTAACATTCTTGCTTGACATTAAGTGAAAAGACTATATTGAAACCATTGCGAGGTCTGCTGCTAAGAAATTTTATTTACTGTGTCGAGCTAGACAATTTTTCTCCACTAACTATATCTTATATATCTATAAGTTTACCATGCTTAGATTATTGCTGGCAAATATGGCCCAGTGCTTCTGCTATATATTTAGAGATTCTTGATAAAATCCAAAAAAGAATCTGCAATTTTATTGGTTCTGACATGGCATCCCGGCTTCAGTCACTTTCACACTGCTGTAATGTCGCTACAATGTGCCTTTTCTATAAATACTTTCACAGTAATTCTTCTGATGAACCTTGCTATAGGATACCTAGACTTTATACATTTAATCGCAGTACTCGATGGTCGACAAGGTCTCACCAATTTACTCGTAAATTTCGTTAGAGGTAATTGTAAGTTCTATGCTAAGCGTTTCTTCTCTCGCTTCTGGAACTTTCTTCCGGTTCAATGTTTCCAACGAATTTTGATGTTCAAAAATTCAAATGCAATGTCAATCGTTATCTACGATCACTCTTTATTGTTCTCACTCCTTAAAAGGTTTCTGCTTTCTAATTCTTTAACACTCAGTAATACCTTGTGTCTTAGTGGCTTTATTACCTTGCTTGGGGTGAAATAACTTTTTAAAAAAAGATGAGGACGATAACACTTGTCTAATTAATGTAAATAAAGATAATTCATCGTCCCATTAAATCAGACTGTTATATTCATCTTCGTGTGTAGAAAGTGCTTTATTCACGTCCTTTTGAGCGTCAGTATTGCTTTCTGTCAGAGAATTCAATCTAATAATATTCATGAAGAAAAAGCTAAAATAAGCGGGAAACAGGGAAAGTAGGGGGGGGATAGGAAAGTTGTAGAAAATGAAAGAAAACCAGATGAATGGAAAAAATACAAAGAGGAAAAATCTAGGAGAGAGAAAAAGGCTTGATGGACATCGAGAGTGAAAGGGAAAATATACAGAGGTGCACAAGACAGAAACGATAGTGAGTTGGGGTCGGTGGGGTTGCTTGTGTCGGAGTTAACTCCTCCTTTAGTTCGTTAACCCTTTCACCAGGGGTCGCTCTTCGCTGCCATAAATAGCCGCTGACCCTTCGCTTCTTTCTCTTTTTTTCCCCCTCAGGCCTTTGCGCCGACCCCTGGAGGTAAATTTCTCTTTTTCCTCAGGCTTTCAGCCTTACCACCTCGAAAATGTAAGCGCTCAAAGGGATAGCGTGAGAACATGCTAAGCACAATACACACACACGCACATACAGAATATTCACACACACACTTTGTCCTTTGTAACTGTTTCCATGTAACTTGTTATTAATATATATTTGTATACATATATTATCGGTCTTGTGTTTTGTTTGTTTTCTTTGCATTCTTTGGACTTAATTAAAAGTCCAACTTTCTTGTGTAGTTGGACCAGCTAGCAGGAGAATCTGAACCCACATTTGTTCTTCTACGTCTACTCAACAACATAACAGCCACTGTCCACTACACTTGACATCAAAAGAGAATGAGCCAAAGTTTGAAAAGCGTGTATCGATGAAAAGACGTGCAAAATGGATAATATTTGATGCATTGAAAGGTGTAGTGGATGTATTAATCATATGGGTAAATAAGTGTTGAGAAATAGGCTGCGTGATAATTAACAATTTCCACTAACATCAAAATTTCAATATTCACACATACAATCAGAAAAACATGAGAAATAATAATGAATCTCTTTTTTTTTTTGAATAACAAACAATAGAATTTTATATATAGTAAGTCATACCAAGGAACAAAGCAAGGCATACAAAATATGATTGAAGTTTGTAAACTTACGCAATATTAAACAGTTTGTGTAGTAATATTTTTCTGATGTGAATTTTAAGTTTGTTTAAGAAGTTGTCCCTCTTTGAGCATAATAATTTTTTGTTAGAGAAATAACTGAAATGTTTGTTGGATAAATATAAGTTCTATGGTTGAGAACTTCCACTGTTTATGGTGATTGAATCCAGTGATTGATGATTAAGTGCATTGGAGTTGTTTCGTGTTAATAAATTTTAACTTTGCAACTTCAAAAGTACAAGTGACGCGGAGTAGTTTAGCGATTGGTTATCCGTCACGAAGCTCATTGGTAAATTTGTGTTCGTGCATTGTATTTATTTGCATTCTTAGTCACGTGTGAGGCTCGCGAACACATTTCAAGATTTTGGCGGTATTTTGTGTTTAAACACGTGTGCGTAGGCGTTGTTACGACTATGAGATATATTGACCAATCAGAAACAATTATTGTAAAACTTGTGTTTGGAGCCTGGATTGTGTTTAGCTTGCACAAAAATCTACAACTAACACATGAAAATGTAAATTAGAAATGCTTTAATATTTATTGTCCAATGAGGACATAGTGAATTCAGCCATTGGTTCTGTTCCACTGGTATGTAGAAGTTAAGCTCTATAAAGGTATAAGGATGATAATGAGAAGATACAGCTCAGGGATTATAGAAGGGCCGAGGCATGAAATAATGGACAATCGTGGTTTTATTGAAAAATATAAAGGAGAGAATATGAAGATGCAGGCAACGTGTAATTGGAGAAGATAGTCATGAAATAATGGGTATTGTGTTGGAACGAATAAGGGTGTGAATTTGAAGATACAGGCAAAGTATTAGAGAAGAACAAAATCAGGATTTAGTAGATAATTTCATTTATGAATCCTGGTGGAATTTCCACAGGAACAACTCGTTTTATAACCTTTCTTTTACTTATGGGGTAATAAGTTCAAAAGACCCTTATAGATTCGTGGGACCTCTACTTTTCAAGCAAATAAGTAATTGGCGTCTGGCACCCGTAATTCAAACATCTTTCACTCATTGTCTGAAATCTATAGTTGATAATATTATTATTGGTGTATTAAAAGTTTCCTGCTGTAGAGAGGTCATGTTTGAAATGACCGTCAGCCCGGAAACATGGGACACCATGCGTTTGAAAAAAGAACAAAAAAAAAGCACAAGTATGACGTCAATAGCCTTGGATTAAAAAGTTCGAGGCGTATTTGCCGGAAGAACTCGACACACGCCGATGGTAACTGGGACGTGAGTTGACGTAAGCAGGAGTCTCGAGACGCTAGAAAAAATAGAGATGGCAGGTTGTGGCGTTTCGACAATAAAAGGAGACAAGTGGGCGGCCATTATTAAGAGAGGGGGAGAAGGAAGACAGAGAAATGAGGAGAGAAAAAAGGGAATAAAAATGTAAAAAAATGAATTGGAATGACAAAATGATGTTGAAGGACTTGTATCATTTTTTTTGCGTGTACAATACGTACATTTTGTATCAGATTTTTTTTTTTTATAGCATGACGTCAAAATATCTTATGATCGTTTGGAGCCGGAAGCCATTAGAAAAAGAGGAGGTGGAGAAGAAAAAGAAGGAGAGGAAAGAAGTAATGAAGAAAAGGCACAACGGGTGGAGAACAACAAGTAGAACGAGGAAGAGAAGTACAGGAAAAAATAAAGGGAGGAGGAGTGAACAAGGAAAAAGGAGAAGAGAATAGAACGAATAAGGAGGAGGAGGGAACAGGAAAGGGGCGAGGAAGGGGAATAGAATGAAGAGGAGGGAACAGGAAAAGGGCGAGGAAGGGGAATAGAACGAAAAGGCCGTGGAGGCAAAAGGAAAAGAGTGAGGAAGGGGAAGTGAATGAAAAAGAAGGAAGAGGAGGGAACATGAGAAGGGCTAGTCAAGAGAATAGAATGAAAAGGGAAGAGGAGAGAACAGGAAAAGGGTGAGGAATGGGAAACAAATGAAAAGGAAGCAGGGGGAGGGATTGAGAAAGCGCGAGGAAGGTGAATATAATGAAAAGGAACGAGGAGGAGGGAACAAGAAAAGGGTGAATAAAAGGAATAGAATGAAAGAGGAGGGGGTGGGGGAAAAGGAAAAGGGTGAGGAATGGGAATAGAATGGAAAGGAAGGAGGAGGAGGGAAACAGGAAAAGGACTAGGTAGGCGAATAGAATGAAAAGGGAGGAGGAGGGGGAATCGGGTGTGGAATGAGAATAGAAGGAAAGGAAAGGGGAGAAGGAAAAGGAAGCGTGAGGAAAGGGAATAGAATGAAAAGGAAGGAGGAGGAGGGAAACAGAAAAAGAACTAGAAAGGCGAATAGAATGAAAAGGGGGGAGGAGGGGGAATCGGGCGTGGAATTAGAATAGAAGGAAAGGAACGGGGAGGAGGAACAGGAAGTGTGAAGAAAGGGAATAAAATGAAAAAGGAGGAGGAGGAGGAGAAGGGAACAGGAAAAGGGCGAGGAAGAGGGACAGAAGGAGAAGGAATGATGTCATCATCACTGCGATATTGGTCCCCAGCCATGTTTTTTTTTCATGTTGGGGGACAGATGATAGTCAGATGGAGACAAATCAGAATAGACCACACTCACGCACAGCAGCTATTGAAGCCAATGACTTGTGTGCTGGAGCATTATCCTGATGAAACAAGAAACCTTTCGTCATTTTTTCTGGGTGTTTACTCTTGCTAGCATTCCGTAACTGCCTCAGCAATTTGGCACATTACTCTCCATTGATGTTTTCTTTTCAAGATATTCAATAAACACAATGCCTTTTGCATCAGATGAAACGACCTTGGTCTACTTTGCAGCAAGTGAGGAGGAGTGTTTCCATTGCCTTGATTGTCAATGGCTGAAAGTGATAAACCCAACACTCATCTTGCGTTAGGGAACATTCAAGGTAACCAGCTTCAAACAATGTCAGATTTTCTCATGATGAGATCAGCCTGGTACGTTTTTGACCAGGTGTCAAAAAAATGGCACCCACCGAGCGGAAACCTTCATCATTCCATGTTTATTGTGCAGAATATTAACAAATCTCTTATGACATATGCTAATAACACTGGCTAGTTACCTGTCATCCATCACCACATGCTGATCATGATCAATGTTTTTTCTCGGTGATGACAGTTGCAATAAATTCAGAACTTGGTTCATTTTTAAGAAACTCCCTTCCCTCTCCTAAATTCAGCTGCCCTCCCCTAATGTAGTAACCATACCAGTATGAATGTCCTTGGGGTCTAAACCCTTTTTCTGAAGGTACTTGATAACACAACAATGTCAAATTTTGTCTATTTTCAAGAGAAGTTGCTACAAGTTACATTTGAAGTCTTATCTAGAGAGAAATAATACAGTTATGATTAAGAAGCATGCAAGATTTCACGACTCTAGCATCACTCTTTACTAGTCAATCTATGAACTTTTCAGCCCACTTTGTACCTGGATAGAAGGAATGCAATTGTTAAAAAGAGTTGAGATAAATTCATGCAAGATTAAATGTCTCTACAATCATTCACAATTTCCTAGTCAGCCTATGGACTTTTCAGCCAACACTCGTACCTGGAAAAAAAGAATGCACTTATTAATAAGAAGAGTTGAAATGAATGCATGCAAGATTTCACAGCTCTCGCATCACTCATTCATAGTCAGACATGAACTTTTCAGCCCTCCCTCGTACCTGGAAAGAAAAAATGCAGTTATTAAAAAGAAGAGTTGAAATGAATGCATGCAAGATTTCACAGCCCTAGCATCACTCCTTTATAGTCAGCCTCGTAACATTTCTGCCCTCCCTCGTACCAGGAAAGAAAGAATGCAGTTATTAATAAAAAGAGTTGAAATTAATGCATGCAAGATTTCACAGTTCTAGCATACATCCTTCATAGTCAGCCTATGAAGTTTTCAGCCATCCCTCGGAATCTGGAAAGAAAGTATGCAGTTATTAAATAGAAGGGTTGAAATGAATGCATGCAAGATTTCACAGCTCTAGCATCACACCTTCATAGTCAGCCTATAAACGTTTAAGCCCACCCTCGTACGTGGAAAGAATCAATGCAGTTATTAATGTGAAGAGTTGAAATGAATGCATGCAAGATTTCACAGATCTAGCATCACGCCTTCATAGTCAGCCTTATAAATCTTTCAGCCCTCCCTCGGATATGAAAAGAAAGTATGCAGTTATTAATAAGAAGAGTTGAAATGAATGCATGCAAGATTTCACAGCTCTAGCATCACTCCTTGATAGCCTTATGAACTTTTCAGCCCATCCTCGTACCTGGAAAGAAAGAATGCAGTTATTAATAAGAAGAGTTGAAATGAATGCATGCAAAATTTCACAGCTCTAGCATCATTCCTTCATAATCAGCCTATGAACTTTTCATTCCGCCCTCGTACCTGGAAAGAAAGAATGCCGTTATTAAGAAGAAGAGTTGAAATGAATGCATGCAAGATTTCACAGCTCTAGCATCACTCCTTGATAGCCTTATGTACTTTTCAGCCCATCCTCGTACCTGGAAAGAAAGAATGTAGTTATTAAAAAGATGAGTTTAAATGAATGCATGCAAGATTTCACAGCCCTAACATCACTCCTTCATAGTCAGCCTTATGAACTTTTCAGCCCTTCCTCGTACCTGGAAAGTATCAATGCAGTTATTAATGTGAAGAGCTGAAATGAATGCATACAAGTTTTCACAGCACGAGCATCACGCCTTCGTAGTCAGCCTTATGAACATTTCAGCCCTCCCTCGTACCTGGAAAGAAAGAATGCAGTTATTAATAAGAAAAGTTGAAATGTATGCATGCAAGATTTCACAGCTCTAGCATCACTCCTTCATATTCAGCCTATGAACTTTTCAGCCCACCCTCGTACCTGGAAAGACAGAATGCAGTTATTAATAAGAAGAGTTGAAATGAATGCATGCAAGATTTCACAGCGCTAGCTTCACTCCTTTATAGTCAGCCTATAAACTTTTCAGCCCTCCCTCGGATATGGAAAGAAAGTATGCAGTTATTAATAAGAAGAGTTGAAATGAATGCATGCAAGATTTCACAGCTCTAGCATCACTTCTTCATAGTCAGCCTATGAACTTTTCAGCCTACCTTCGTACCTGGAAAGAAAGAATGCAGCTATTAATAAGAAGAATTGAAATGAATGCATGCAAGATTTCACAGCTCTAGCATCACTCCTTCATAGTCAGCCTATGAACTTTTCAGCCCTCTCTCGTACCTGGAAAAAATGAATGCAGTTATTAATAAGAAGAGTTGAAATGAATGCAATGGAAGATTTCACAGCTCTAGCATCACTCCTTCATAGTCAGCCTTATGAACATTTCAGCCCTCCCTCGTACCTGGAAAGAAAGAATGCAGTTATTAATAAGAAGAGTTGAAATGAATGCATGCAAAATTTCACAGCTCTAGCATCATTCCTTCATAGTCAGGCTATAAACTTTGCAGCCCTTCCTCGTACCTGGAAAGTATCAATGCAGTTATTAATGTGAAGATTTGAAATAAATGCATGCAAGTTTTCACAGCCCTAGCATCACTCCTTCATAGTCAGGCTCGGAACATTTCATCCCTCCCTCGTACCTGGAAAGAAAGAATGCAGTTATTAATAAGAACATTTGAAATGAATGCATGCATGATTTCACAGCTCTAGCATAACTCCTTCATAGTCAGCCTATGAACTTTTCAGCCTACCCTCGTACCTGGAAAGAAACAATGCAGTTATTAATAAGAAGAGCTGAAATAAATGCATACAAGATTTCACAGTTCTAGCATCCTAACTTCATAGTCAGCCTATGAGCTTTTCAGCCAACCCATGTACATACGTGTTCTCGTATTATATGTATTTCAGGCGGAAGGTGACGGTTGTAAAAGGTCTTTGAACACACCCTACCAAATACTGCTTCTCAGAGAGGCCAAGTTTACAGAATACAGTCAGGGCGTGAAGACAATTCGGAAGCTCGCTATGCAATAAATCTTTGTGTTTTACTGGACAAAAAAAGCTACAGAACCGCATGAGATCCTCCAGACTGCTTATGGGTTAACTAATATGAACAGAGCATCTGATTCCCGCTGGGACAATGGGTGATGTGAGAGGAAGACAATGTGGAGATAGACGTCAGAACATCAGAGCTGTTGAGAAAATTTTCTCGATGACAATCACCATGTGTCTCTAAATACAATAAGCATACAGTTTGGAGTTTGTGTGACAACTGTAGACAGAATTATTCATGAAGATCTGCGCAGAAATAGTACAAAGTTTGTTCTCGGGGTGGTCAGTGAGGAAAAGAATAAAAGACGCGCTGGAAACCGCGTAGAGATGGTTGATAGACATCAAAACTGTCCCTCAAGCACCCGACAGTCCAGACCGTAGTCCCTGGGACTTTTGGTTGTTCCCGAAGTTGAACGAGAACCTTTGAGGGCAGTCATTTTTAAGACATTAAGATGAAGGATGCCGTGACACGAGTCCTGGACTCCTATTTGATCTGGACCTTGATTCATATGACCTTCTCATTGTTCCACAACCTGAAGGAGGACCTCAGGGGCAGTCGTTTTGAAGACATTAAGATAAAGGAGTCTGTGGCAAGTCGGCTGGTTACTTTCTGATTTCCTTCTCAATCAAGTCCTTCCACCCTGTGAACTTTTGGTTGTTCGCCAACCAGAAGGAAAACTACAAGGGCAGTCATTTGACGACATTGAGAAGATAAAAGAGGCTGTGAAAAGTGTCCTGGATACTTTCTCAATTCAGACCTTCTACCCTGTGACATTTTAGTTGTTTTCCAAGGTGAGGGAGTATCTCAGTGGCAGTCGTTTTAAAGATATTGAGAGAAGGCTGTGACAAGGGTCTTGGTTACCTTCCCAATGCACACCTTGTTCCCTTTGGCCTTCTAGTTGTTCCCCAAGATGAAGGAGAACCCAAGATGCAGTCGTTTTGAAGATATTGAGAAGATAGTGGAGGCTGTGACGAGGGTCCTGGTTACCTTCTCAATCCAGACAGTACTCCCCGTGATCTTTTGGTCTTTCCCCAAGCTGAAAGAGAGCCTCAGTGGTAGACGTTTTGAAGACCATTGTCCCAGCCTCCTTCCTCTTCTCAATAAGATGAAGGAGGCTGTGACATGGGTCCTGGTCACCTAAATCCAGACTTCGCTGCCTATGACCTTTTGCTTGTTCCCTAAGCTGAAGGAGAAACTTCATTGGCAGTCGTTTTGAAGACATTGAGAAGATAAAGGGGGCTGTAATAAGTGACCTAGACTCCTTCTCAATTACGACCATGCTCTCTGTGATCTTTTGGTTCTTCTACAAACTGCAGGATAACCTCAGTGGCAGTTGAAGACACTAATAAGATGAAGGACGTTGTGAAAAGGGCCTTGATTCCTCAATCCAGACTTACATCATTGTGACCTTTTTCTTGTTCCCAATTTTGAAGGACAATCTCAAGGACAGTCGTTTTGAAGACATTGAGAAGATGAAAGAGGTCCTGGTAACCTTCTCAATTTATTCCTTCCTACTTGTGACCTTTTGGTTGCTCCCCAAGCTGAAGGAGAACCCCATTGGCAATGGTTTTGAAGATGTTGAGATGATGAAGGAGGCTGTGACAAGATATATATATATAAATTCATGAATCATTCATAGAAAAAAACAAATATAGAGGTTAATGATTTAAATGGCGAGAATACATCTTCGCAAACAATATAAATAAGATACATCAACCCCGAACCTGTATATGAATGATATGATCCCTGTTTATAAATTCCAGTTGCATAAGGTCTTTTTAATTTTTTACAAGCTTTCGTCTGTTCCTACAGACATCCTCAGGTATGGAAATAGATTTGTTCTTGTTTTTTACTTCTCGGTAATAAGAGGACAACGAAAGTAGAGATTTAATCCGAAAAAATGCTATGAGAAATGTGTTATTGTTTTGGAACGTGCGGTCGCAACGCTGAGTTTGAATTTTAAATTTTAAGGTTGTGCGTTTTTGTACAAATATAGTAATAAGTGAATTCTTTTTTACTGGTAGGTTTTCCGTCAATGTGGCATGAACTATATTGTTCAATAATTACAGGAATATCACACTTATTATCCGAAAGTTGCACTTTGGATCAGTTATTTTAATTTCCATAATCTATTTCCATACCTGATGATGTCTGTAGGAACAGACGAAAGCTTGTAAAAAATTAAAAAGACCTTATGCAAATGGAATGTATAAACAGAGATCATATCATTCATATACAGGTTCGGGGTTGGTGTATCTTATTGATTATTTATATTGATAAATTATAATTGCACCTATAATTGAAATATATATATATATATATATATATATATATATATATATATATATAGAGAGAGAGAGAGAGAGAGAGAGAGAGAGAGAGAGAGAGAGAGAGCTTCACCATGACAGCCGGGTTCTGACGTCACCCTGATTGATTTTACTGACTTCTTGATACTATCGCTTTCAAGTGACGATTCCAACTAGCGATAATGTTGGTAAGTTCCTGAAAAACATACCATTGCTTGATCCATGCCTTGTGTGAGAGAAACCTTTCCAAAGACGGCAATGGTTGTATCAGCACGTAATAACAAGCCATCATGCCCAAGAGTATAACCGTATTGATCTTGTTCAACTACAATTACACCAGATTATAAGCTCTCAACCAGAAACTGTAGCACAGGTCTGCTTAGCATTTTTTATTTTTATTCGGTTTCACCCCAAGCAAGGTAGTAAAGCCACTAAGACACAAGAGATTACAAGGTGTGGAATAATTAGGAACAGAAACATTAATAATGAGCGGGAAAATGAAATAATAATTAGGAGGACAGTAGATAGCGATTGACATTGCATTTACATTTTCGCAAATTAAAGTTGGCTGGAAAGCATGTAGCCGGGAGGGAGTTCCACACGTGAGAAGTGCGAGAGAAGGAACTGCTAGCATAGAACTTACGGTTACATTTAGCCTCGGTTACATCTAGTTGCGGTATAAACAAAAGACGTCCACTCGCCACTTGCTTTCATTTATTCACCAAAGTCCATGGGTGGGGTTGCTTTATGTCCATCTCTCGCCGCGCCATCTCTAAGTTAAATATCAGAGTAAACAGGACACTATCCTTCTTTAAAAAAGAAAATTTTAACTTGAAAATAGAGAGGAGGCAACAGGAAACCACTACGTTACTTAACTTGGAAGTCATTGTAATTCACATATATTAAAACGAAAAAGAAGATGTGGAGGGCCATGATCACCTACGCCGTGAAGATTAAAAATGCATACTTCATTCTTCATCCTCCCCTTTGTTTTCTTTCTGTATATTCATTCTTATTCTTTTTCCTTCTCTTATTTCGTCTTCTTTTCTTTCACAAATCATTCTCTTTTTCTTCTTTTTTACATTATTTTCTTTCTTTCTTTTCTCCTTTTTCCTTCTCTCATTTCGTCTTCTTTTCTTTCACAAATCATTCTCTTTTTCTTCTTTTTTACATTATTTTCTTTCTTTCTTTTCTCCTTTTTCCTTCTCTTATTTCGTCTTCTTTTCTTTCACAAATCATTCACCTTTTCTTCATTTTTACATTATTTTCCTTCTTTCTGTTCTCCTTTTTCCTTCTCTTATTTCGTCTTCTTTTCTTTCACAAATCATTCTCTTTTTCTTCTTTTTTACATTATTTTCTTTCATTCTTTTCTCCTTTTTTCTTCTCTCATTTCGTCTTGTTTTCTTTCACAAATCATTCTCTTTTTCTTTTTTTTACATTATTTTCTGTCTTTCTTTTCTCCTTTTTCCTTCTCTCATTTCGTCTTTTTTCTTTCACAAATCATTCTCTTTTTCTTCTTTTTTACATTATTTTCTTTCTTTCTTTTCTTCTTTTTCCTTCTCTTATTTCGTCTTCTTTTTCTTTCACAAATCAATTTTTTTTCTTCTTTTTTTACATTTTTTTCTTTCTTTCTTTTCTCCTTTTCCTTCTCTTATTTCGTCTTCTTTTCTTTCACAAATCATTCTCTTTTTTTTTTTTTTTTTTATTTTTTTTCTTTCTTTTCTCCTTTTTCCTTCTCATTTCATTTCTTTTTTTTTTCTTTCACAAATCATTCTCTTTTTCTTCTTTTTTACATTATTTTCTTTCTTTCTTTTCTCCTTTTTCCTTCTCTCTCCATTTCATCTTTTCTTTCACAAATCATTCTTTTTTCTTTTTTTTACATTATTTTCTTTTCTTTTTTTCTCCATTTTTCCTTCTCTTCTTTTCGTCTTCTTTTCTTTCATAAATCATTCTCTTTTCTTCTTTTTTACATTATTTTCTTTCTTTTTTTTTTCTCCTTTTTCTTTCTCTCATTTCGTCTTCTTTTCTTTTCACAAATCATTCTCTTTTTCTATTTTTACATTATTTTTCTTTCTTTCTTTTCTCTTTTTTCCTTCTCTCATTTCGGTCTTTTTTCTTTCACAAATCATTCTCTTTTCTTCTTTTTTTACATTATTTTTTTTTCTTTCTTTTATCCTTTTCCTTCTTTTATTTCGTCTTCTTTTCTTTCACAAATCATTCTCTTTTTTCTTTTTTTAATTATTTTCTTTCTTTCTTTTCTCCTTTTTTCCATTTCTCTCATTTCAAATCTTTCTTTTCTTTTTTTTCATTATTTTCTTTCTTTCTTTTTCTCTTCTCTCATTTTTTTATTTTTTACATTATTTTCTTTTTTTCTTTTTTCATTATATTTTTCTTTTCCTTTTTTTCCTTCTCTCATTTCGGCTTCTTACTTTCACAAATCATTTCTCTTTTCTTTTTTTTTCACATTATATTCTTTTTTTTTTTTTTCTCCTTTTTTTCCTTCTCTCATTTCGGCTCTTTCTTTTTTCCTTTTTTCACAAATCATTCTTTTTTTCTTTTTTTTACATTATTTTTTTTTTTTTTTTCTTTTCCTCCTCTCTTTCATTTCGTTCTTTTTTCTTTTCACAAATCATTCTCTTTTTTCTATTTTTTTACATTATTTTTTCTTTCTTTCTTTTCTCCTTTTTTCCTTCTCTCATTTCGGCTTCTTTTCTTTCAAAAATCATTCTCTTTTTCTTCTTTTTTACATTATATTCTTTCTTTTCTTTTCTCCTTTTTCCTTCTCATTTTCTTCTTTTCTTTCAAATCATTCTCTTTTTCTTCTTTTTACATTATTTTTTTCTTTCTTTTTTTTCCTTTTTCCTATTTTCTTTCATTAATCAATTCTTTTCTTTTTTTACAATTTTTCTTTCTCTTTTCTTTTTTTTTTCTCATTTTCTTCTTTTCTTTCACAAATCATTTCTTTTCTCCATTTCATTTCTTTTCTTTTCTTTTTCCTTTCTATATTTTTCTTTTTTAACCAATCATTCTCTTTTTCTTCTTTTTTTATTTTTCTTTTTTTTTTTTTTTTTCCTTTTCCTTCTCTCATTTTGTCTTTTTTCTTTTCTTCTTTTCATTCTCTTTTTTCTTCTTTTTTTACAAATTATTTTTCTTTTTTTCTTTTTTCTTTTCTTTTTTTTCCTTCTCTTCTTTCGTCTTCTTTTTTTCACAAATCTTTTTTCTTTTTTTTATTTTTATTTTCTTTTCTTTTCTCCTTTTTTCTCAAACGTTTTCTTCTTTATTTCAAATTTCTTTTTCTTTTTTTTACATTACTTTCTTTCTTTCTTTTTTCATTCTCTTATTTCGTTTCTTTTCTTTTTTCATTCTCTTTTTCTTTTTTTTACATTATTTTCTTTTTTTCTTTTTCCTTTTTCCTTCTCTCATTTCGTCTTCTTTTTTTCAAATCATTCTTTTTCTTTTTTTTTTACATTATTTTTTCTTTTCTTTCTTTTTCTTCTTTTTTCCTTCTCTCATTTCGTCTTCTTTTCTTTCATAAATCATTCTCTTTTTTTTTTTTTACATTATTTTCTTTTCTTTTTTTTCTCCTTTTTTTTCTTTATTTCGTCTTCTTTTCTTTCACAAATCATTCTCTTTTTTCTTTTTTTTACATTATTTTCTTTCTTTCTTTTCTCCTTTTCCTTCTCTCATTTCGTCTTCTTTTCTTTCACAAATCATTCTCTTTTTTTTTTTTTACATTATTTTTTTCTTTCTTTTCTTTTTTTTCCTTCTCTCATTTCGTCTTCTTTTCTTTTCTCATTCTTTTTTTTCTTTTTTTACATTATTTTCTTTCTTTTCTTTTCTATTTTTTCCTTCTCTCATTTCGTCTTCTTTTCTTTCACAAATCATTCTTTTTTTTTTTTTTACATTATTTTTTTCTTTCTTTTCTCCTTTTTCCTTCTCTCATTTCGTCTTCTTTTCTTTTTTAAATCATTCTCTTTTTTTTTTTTTTACATTATTTTCTTTTTCTTTCTTTTTTCTTTTTTTCCTTCTCTCATTTCTCGTCTTTTCTTTCACAAATCTTTTTCTTTTTTTTTTTTAAAATCCTTTTTTTCTCTTTTTTTCTTTTTTTTCTCAAATCATTTCTTTTTTTTTTTTCATTATTTTCTTTCTTTCTTTTCTTTTTCCTTCTCTCATTTCGTCTTCTTTTCTTTCACAAATCATTCTCTTTTTTTTTTTTTTTACATTATTTTCTTTCTTTCTTTTCTCCTTTTTCCTTCTCTCATTTCGTCTTCTTTTCTTTCACAAATCATTCTCCTTTTTTTTTTTTACATTATTTTTCTTTCTTTTCTCTTTTTCCTTTTTTTCGTCTTCTTTTCTTTTTTTTTTTATTTTTTTTTTTTCATTATTTTCTTTCTTTCTTTTTCCTTTTTCCTTTCTCATATTTTTTCTTTTTTCTTCAAATCATTCTCTTTTTTTTTTTTACATTATTTTCTTTTCTTTCTTTTCTCCTTTTCCTTCTCTCATTTCGTCTTCTTTTCTTTCACAAATCATTCTCTTTTTTTTTTTTTTTATTTTTTTCTTTCTTTCTTTTTCTTTTTCTTTTTCTTTTTTTTCTCAAATCATTCTCTTTTTTCATTTTTACATTATTTTCTTTTCTTTCTTTTCTTTTTCTTCTCTCATTCGTCTTCTTTTTTTCTTTTTTTTTTTTTTTACATTATTTTTTTCTTTCTTTTCTCCTTTTTCCTTCTCTCATTTCGTCTTCTTTTCTTTCGTAAATCATTCTCTTTTTCTTTTTTTTACATTATTTTCTTTCTTTTCTCCTTTTTCCTTCTCTTACTTCGTCTTCTTTTCTTTCGCAAATCATTCTCTTTTTCTTTTTTTTACATTATTTTCTTTCTTTTTTTTCCTTTCCTTTCTTTTCGTTTCTTTTTTTCTTTCGATTTTTTTTTCTTTTTCTCTTTTTTTCTTTTTCTTTTCTTTTTATTTTCTTCCTACCTTTTTTCCTTCTCTTTTTTTTTTTCATTTTTTCAAATCATTTTCTTTTTTTTCAAATATTTCTTTTTCTTTTTTTCTTTCTTTCTCTTTTCCTTCTCTTTTCGTCTTCTTTTTTTCACAAATCATTCTCTTTTTCATTTTTTTACATTATTTTCTTTCTTTCTTTTCTCCTTTTTCCTTTCTCATTTCTTCTTCTTTTCTTTCACAAATCATTCTCTTTTTCTTCTTTTTTACATTCTTTTTTTCTTTTTCTTTCTTTTCTCCTTTTTCCTTCTCTCATTTCGTCTTCTTTTTCTTTTCACAAATCTTTCTCTTTTTTCTTTTTACATTATTTTTTTTTCTTTCTTTTCCTTTTTCTTTCTCTTCTTTCGTCTTCTTTTCTTTCTCAAATCATCTTCTTTTCTTTTTTTTTTTTTTTTTTTTCTTTCTTTCTTTTTCCTTTTCTTTCTCTTTTTCGTCTTCTTTTCTTTATAAATCATTCTCTTTTCTTTTTTTTTACATTATTTTTTTCTTTTTTCTTCCTTTTCCTTCTCTCATTTCGTCTTCTTTTTTTTAAATCATTTTTTCTTTTTTTTACATTTTTTTCTTTCTTTTTCTTTTTTTCCTTCTCTCATTTCGTCTTCTTTTCTTTTAAATCATTCTCTTTTTTTCTTTTTTTACATTATTTTTTTTTCTTTCTTTTCTCCTTTTCCTTCTCTCATTTCGTCTTCTTTTCTTTCACAAATCATTCTCTTTTCTTTTTTTTACATTTTTCTTTCTTTCTTTTCTCCTTTTCCTTCTCTTATTTCGTCTTCTTTTTTTCACAAATCATTCTCTTTTTTCTTTTTTTTTCATTATTTTTTTCTTTTTCTTTTCTTTTTTTCTTTCTTTTTTTTCTTTTCTTTTCCTTCATTCTTTTTTTTTTTTTTTTTACATTATTTTTTTCTTTCTCCTTTTTCCTTCTCTCATTTCGTCTTCTTTTCTTTTTTTCATTCTTTTTCTTCTTTTTACATTATTTTCTTTCTTTCTTTTTTTTTCTCCTTTTTCCTTCTCTCATTTCGTCTTCTTTTCTTTTTTAAATCATTCTCTTTTTCTTTTTTTTACATTATTTTCTTTCTTTCTTTTCTCCTTTTTCCTTTCTTTTTTCGTCTTCTTTTTTTTTCACAAATCATTCTCTTTTTCTTTTTTTTACATTATTTTCTTTCTTTCTTTTCTCCTTTTTTTCCTTCTCTTATTTCGTCTTCTTTTCTTTCTAAATCATTCTTTTTTTTTTTTTTACATTTTTTTCTTTCTTTTTTTTCCTTTTTCTCTTACTTTCTTCTTTTTTTCACAAATCATTCTCTTTTCTTTTTTAAATTATTTTTCTTTTTTTCTTTTTTTTTTCCTTCTCTTTTTCGTCTTCTTTTTCAAATGATTCTCTTTTTTTTTTTTACATTATTTTCTTTCTTTCTTTTCTCCTTTTCCTTCTCTTCTTTCGTCTTCTTTTCTTTCACAAATCAATTTTCTTTCTTTTCTTTTTCTCTTTTTCCTTCTCTCATTTTCTTTTTCTTTCACCAATTTCTCTTTTTTTCTTTTTTTACATTATTTTCTTTCTTTTTTCTCTTTTCCTTCTCTCATTTCGTCTTCTTTTCTTTTCTGTAAATCATTCTCTTTTTCTTTTTTTACATTCTTTTTCTTTCTTTCTTTTCTCCTTTTTCCTTCTCTCATTTCGTCTTCTTTTCTTTCCAAATCATTCTCTTTTTCTTTTTTTACATTATCGTCTTCTTTTCTTTTCAATCATTCTCTTTTTTTTTTACATTTTTTTCTTTCTTTTCTTTTCTCCTTTTCCTTTTCTCTTTTCGTCTTTTTCTTTCACAAATCAAATTATTTTCTTTCTTCTCTTTTTTTCTCTTATTTCGTTTTTCTTCTCTTTTTTCATTCTTTTTTTTTCTTTTTTCATTATTTTCTTTCTTTTCTTTTCTCCTTTTCCTTCTCTCATTTTTGTCTTCTTTTCTTTCACAAATCATTCTCTTTTTTCTTTTTTTACATTATTTTCTTTCTTTTTTTCTCCTTTTTCCTTCTCTTATTTCGTCTTCTTTTCTTTCACAAATCATTCTCTTTTTTTCTTTTTTACAATTTTTTTCTTTCTTTTCTCCTTTTCTTCTCTTATTTTCTTCTTTTCTTTCTCATTCTCTTTTACTTTTTTTTCATTATTTCTTTCTTTTTCTTTTCCTTCAATCATTTCTCTTTTCTTTCCTAAATCAATTCTTTCCCTTTTTTTTACATTATTTTCTTTCTTTCTTTTCTCCTTTTCCTTCTCTCATTTCGTCTTCTTTTCTTTTCACCAATCATTTCTCTTTTTTTCTTTCTTTTTTTTTCTTTTCTCCCTTTTCTTCTTTTTTTTCTTCTTTCTTTTCTTCGCAAATTTTCTCTTTTTTCTTTTGTTTCGTTATTTTCTTTTTCTTTTCTTCCTTTTCATTCTCTTTTTCTTTTTTTATTTTCTTTCTTTTTCTTTATTCTCCTTTTCCTTCTTCTTCTTATTTCGTCTTCTTTTCTTTCACAAATCATTCTCTTTTTTTTCATTATTTTTTTTTTTTTTTTTTATTTTCTTTCTTTCTTTCTTCTTTTCTCTTTTCCTTTTTCTTCTTTTTTCATTTTTTCTTTCTTTTCTTTTTCCAAATCATTCGTCTTTTTTTTTTTTTTATCATTCTCTTTTTTTCTTTTTTTCTTTTCTCCTTTTCTTTCTCTTATTTCCTTTCTTCTTTTTCTTTTTTTCACAAATCATTCTCTTTTTTTCTTTTTTTTATAATTATTTTCTTTCTTTCTTTTTTTCTCCTTTTCCTTCTCTTATTTCGTCTTCTTTTCTTTCACGAATCATTCTCTTTTTCTTCTTTTTTTACATTTTTTTTTCTTTCTTTTTTCTTTTTTTTCCTTCTCTCATTTCGTC